TAAATATTTACCAAATAGTAGAAAATGTGCAACCAATTAACTTTTGATTTAATGATAGTTCTCTTTACTTGGTTGAAGGAAGTCTCAGGTTCAACCGAAAATATCTGTTTTTTGACTAATTCTTCAGTCTTAATGTCGTATCTACTAAATTTGTTATAAATTTATATTTTTAAGGGAATTATTATTCGATAGTGACTACCTTAGCAATTTTTTGATGCATTCCCACCCATTGTCATGGCAACCCAAGGACAATCACTATTTACATGAGATATGAGGAGAGGAATTTGTATGGATTTTGGTGTGGAAAGTGAAGAAAATTGCTAGGTATTTATAGAAAAAAAATTATGAATTTTTTGGTATTTTTTGGTATTTAAATTGGCTTCTAACGTCAGCTTGTCCAAACAAGTCTTGTCTTCAAACTTGCCCAGTTTCGTGAGCCCACTTTTTGTCATGGCAACTTTTTCTTTGTGGGGTTTGTTTTTGGAGCCTAAGCCCATGACAAAAAGGGAATTGGTGGAAGTGCTTAAGGACAAAATTTGCATGTATCTACTAGTTTATTGAAGCACAAAAAAAATCTACATGACTTTCTCAAGAAAAAAATAAGACATAAAACAAATATCATCAGCTTTTCCCCCAGCTGGATGCTTTTTCATAATTTGCACTAATCCCCGGAGCTCCACGGCTAATTCTTTCATTGGAATTTGGAGGCCTTTCTTCACCTCTTAACACCAAACATCTTTTTGCCAGATCCGCTACTTTTTCTATCACTCTCTCGAAATTATGTGCGTCTTTAACTATTTCGGCATCAAGAATTTCAGCTAGCCGACCCTCTTTCACCGCACAAACAAAGACATTTGCTAGGATTTCTATGCCTCATTTTTTTTCTTTCTATTTTTATGTATGACACAAAACAACTACATCTTCTATGTTTGATATCCCCTCCCCCGAGAGACCCCAATTTATTTTGTATAACAAAAAAAATAATGACCAAGAAATATAGCAGGTAGTTGAATGAGAATATGCAAGCAACATAACCTCATCAAGCTTGACTAAGATACCATTGGCAGTATAAAGCTCGTCAAGCTTAAGGTTTGAAACATATTATTCAGATTTATGAAGAAAAAACAAAGAAGATAATAATCACAAGTTTACAATAGATAATAATCAAATACCACATAATTAACTCTATGACACACACACATATTACAGTAGTACGTACGCTAACGTACTTTTATTTCAATACATGCTATATCACTAAGGAATTAAGGAGCTAATTAACTATCGGCCATCACCATAAGGCTTTACCATTTGGATGTGTTGAGTTTGCATGCTGTGGTCGTACTCTGCACTACTTATATCCGCAACGAAATTAGCAGGTGACCCAAGCAAGTGGTCGGTCTCTTGGGGAGATCGTTTGAAATCAGCCTTCCCCTCATCTGAATCCTTTCCCATAACTTTCAATAATCCCCCGAGCTCCACCGCTACTTCTTTCATCGACGGCCTTTCCTCCCCTCTTAACCTTAAACATCTATTTGCCAGATCTGCCACTGTTTCTACGACTTTCTCAAACCCTTCTCCTTCCTTGGCGATTTCAGCATCAAGAATTTCATTCAAGCGGCTCTCCTTCATTGCGTGAACAAAAGCGTTTGCTAGGTTTCTGTCAACCTCCGACTTTTTGTTTGAGGATAGTGCCTTTTGGCTTGTGATTAGCTCCACCAGGACAACTCCGAAGCTATACACATCACTCTTTTCTGTTAGTATGTGGGACTGAAGATATTCAGGGTCCAAGTATCCGAGTGTCCCTTGCACCAAAGTTGATAGTTGGCCTTCATCTTGATCCGGAACCAATTTTGAAGCTCCAAAGTCTGCAACTTTTGCGGTGTACTTGTGGTCTAGTAGTATGTTCATTGCTTTAACATCTCGGTGTATGATTGGGGGCTCAGTGTAGTGGTGCAAGTATGAGAGTGCTTCTGCAGTATCTGCTGCTATCTTCAACCGCAAGTCCAATGGAAGTCGTGGGTATTTGTTGTCTTTTCTATGAATGTGATCATGAAGAGTGCCATGGGAAATGTACTCGTAAACCAGTATAGGCGTTTGAGTCTCTAAACAACAGCCAAGGAGCCTCACAACATTTTTATGGTGGATTTGGGAAAGAACAATCACCTCGTTAACAAACTCTAGACTCTGAGTCTCAGTAATTGGGGAATTAACTTTGGACTTTTTTATGGCGACCACTTTGTTATGATGATCTGCGGACAAATTTCCGTTGTAAACTACTCCATAGCCACCTTCACCAATTTTTCTCTCTTCATTGTAATTGTTTGTGGCCTTCTCCAGTTCTGCTTCAGTAAAGATTTTGGCTGCCTCGACGGATCCATTGTAACTCGCCAACTGTGTTGTCGTAAAAATAAGCCACCATTTTGTTTAAAGAACTTGTCTTGTTGTTTCTTGAACTGTCTTCTCTTCATTGCGCAGTATGGGCAAAAATATACAACCAGTAGAACAAAGAAGGCCGCAATGACTCCTGCATATAGATAGTTGAAAAATCACAGTCAACTTATTTTAGCTTTTATATATTATTTACTTATACCGAAATAAAGATGGCTTGTAGAGGTAGCTAACATCAAAGCTCCTTTCTTCGCTTCAGTCAATGCTATAATGTTCATTTACATACATAGTAGTAGTACATACCCATTGCAACTTTTATGGGAGAGTGTTGGTGTTTTTCTTGATGCATTTCTTCAGATCTTCAGTATTCTTGTACCCTTTGGGACATTTACAAGTGTAATCTCCAGGTTTATTCAGGCACGTTCCAATATCGCAAGGGTTTGAGTCCTTGCACTCGTCAACATCTGAAAGAAATGAGAAGCACATATATATATGTATCATCACACACGTTAGTTAATTAATGATTATACACAACATAAAATTTATGTGGTTACGTATATGTATATATACGATGAGTACCTAGGCAACCATCTGGGTGGTATGTGCCGTAGTAACCCGGCAAGCACTGGCAAATGTAACCAGAGGGGGCCTGGTTGCCGATGGTCCGGTTGACACACTTGGTATGTGCCATGCAAGAAGAATTCTTCTTTTCAGCTACAACATCACTGTTGGGGAACCACCAGTTTCCCCCCTCGTCACAGCGCAACCGATGGAAGAAATAAACAAACAAACCAACAAGCTCAAGATGACAATGAGTAAATACATGAGAGAACACACCAAGAATTTACGAGGTTCGGCAAAAACCTGCCTACATCCCCGGACAGTATTGTCAGTTTTTCACTATGAGAATATTAACCGTACAAAGTACATATTGAGTTAAATCACATAACTCATCAATATAACACTCAAGAGTTTTATACCCAAACTCGAGTCCCTTGTACACCCACTCACAGTATTTCCCAAAACTCACTGTCACTCCCCAAGAGATATATCCTCCCTTGAACCTTTGATGAACCCAGCTAACTCCCACAGCTGAAACATCCTCCAGGAATTCATGGGACTGCTTGCTTGCATCTCACAAGCAACCCACTCTCCCTCTCTGCCGTGCTCTCTCTCTGGTGTCTTTCCTTGGTGTGGCTGAAGCACACCAGCCCACACCCTCATGCCTTTGGTGCAGCTCACATGCACCCTTCCATGGCTTCATGGAGTTCCCCACATCTCTGCCGTGGGTTCTCAAACTCCCTCTCTTTTGCCATATGGTGCGACACAAGCACACATGCACACTTTTTTATAAACCCATGCAGCAGCACTCCAAATGAATGCAGCCGCACCTTTTGACTCTTCCAAACGGGTGAGTCTATTCCACATGCAAACAACACTCCATAAAACAAGGAGTGGTCCCCACATCATTATTATGCCACCCATAATGATATCTCTTTGCATGTGCTCACCAATTCCACCACCAGAAACCAAAAGCCACAACTAGCTTCCCACATAGCCACCAAGCGCCGAAAGCAACAATATACTAAGGAGGGATTTCCAACAATCACATGACTCGTCCCCAATGTCCCAATTAAGAACCATGGGAAGCTGGCTTATCTTCGCCAGTTGTTGGAAGCTTGCATTACCAGAGAAGTTGAACTGGCCTTCTTGCACAATGAAAGCGTAGCTGCAGGGGTTAAAATCCATCACATAGGTATGATTGTTATAGCTCTTCAAATACACAGAACGGTTTTCGAGTCCGTCGAGTATGGAGGTCTGGCAACACCCAATTCCGGAGCAAGAGTTCTCATCAACGCTGTCGAGGCCGAGACACTGGGACATGCTGTTATGTTTTCCTATTTAGATCAGTGCACTAGATACTAAGTCAGATCAGGTTTGATAAGGGTTTAAATTAAGTTGTACCTTAAGGCCCAAAACCTTGTGAAATAAGGAAAGGTTTTAAGGCCTATTAAGGAGTCCTATTTTGTTTCCTTTTTGCGTGAACCGATTAAGTGGGCTTGGAAGATTAGTCAAGTCGGCCCTCGGTGATGAGTAGAGACGACTTGACCTAGCCCTATATAAGCTTAAGGCCCTGCTCTCATCAGACACGTTCTCTAAACCTATTCTCATCATAAAGAGAGAGCTGAAACAGATTCTGAGAGAGAGCAGAAGTTCTTGAGCCGTCACTGTTAAATTGCTAGGATTGCTGTGCAACGGATATGATGAATTCAGAAGCTGTGTATTCAAGGAAGATGGCTCCAGGTACGTTTTCATGTACTTATACGTATTACATGTTTGTGTGAAAGATCTAGATTATATAACTAAAGAAATCTAACAGTTGGTATCAGAGCTTTAGGTTGTTCACACATATCTATAATCGTTGTTCAAGCATGCCTAATCTGTTTACATATATGTTTACATATCTGGTTATGCTATATGAATTTTGGTTATGTTTAATTTTTGGAAATTGATTAAACATATTTTTCTGAAATATTAAAAGTTCTAAAGAATCTGGAAAAAACATGTTTTGATCCGTTTTTCATATTTTCAAAACTTTAAACGCATTTTTGACCTAGTAGATCACCTTAAAAGCCTAAAAAAGCCTATATGTCACAGCAAATCTGTGAGTTCTGTGAGTTAGGTCATTCCTATTCAGAAAGGTATTTTGCGTCAAAAACGGACACCGAAAACCCCTAAAACACTGTTCACGGCAGTTTCACTGTTCACTGCACGATTTTGGGTTTTCTCCTTATTGAACTGTGTTTTGTTTGGTTATTTTTCTGAGCTAGATAGATGTTTGCTTTTGTTTTGAGAATCAACAAACTTTTCATAACAAAACCAAACCTAAAAACTCAAACCCTAAAGAAAATAACCGGAAATTGCATTATACATGAATTGCTTGGTAAGTTTCTTCAACAAATAGAATCTATCTAGTAATTTATTTGTAATGGCACAAGATAACATGTAATTTGTGTAAGCTATAAGTAATCTCTTGCCACAAAGGTGTGATACTTAATTAAGGACGCTTGCATATATTATTTGTTAGTTTTGTGAATAAAGTTAAACTGTTTCTCTTAACAAATTGAGAATCGGTTTCTAGGAAAGTAATATGTAATATGCTTTCGTTTGCAAATCCTTTAAAGTTATAAACACTCCCTCAATCAATTTCTCGCACATTGAAACTCTCACTGGATCGAATTTCAAACGATGGAAGTTCGATCTTGATATTGCACTAGGCATGAGTGATATCGATTATGCTATTACTCAAGATGAGCCGACCAGACCAGTTGCGAACTCCCCTGCTGAAGTTAAAAGAGTCCATGAAGCTTGGAGGATGGCAAATAAGGTTTGTCTGTTGGTTATGAAGAAAACTATGACAGAAGCCCTTTTTGGTGGAGTTCCGGAAACAGACAGTGCTAAGGAGTTTATGGAGCACATTGAAATGAAATTTAAGGAATCTGGTAAGGCTGAAACGAAGCACCTCATGCCTAGGCTGGCTAATACGAAGTATGAAGGAGGAGGCAGCGTAAGAGAACATCTCATGGGACTCATGGATATTGCTGCCAAGTTGAGCAAGTTGAAAGTGCCTATTGCTCCAAATTATCTAGTACATATTGCACTGGAATCCCTACCTTTTGATCAGATGAAATCCTCCTACAACACCGTGAAGGAAGATTGGACAATGGATGATCTTATTACAATTGCTGTTCTTGAGGAGAATAGGACAAAGGCTCGGGGTGGTGTGGTTAATGTGGTCACTGCCAAGAAGTATGAGGATAAGGGCGCTGCAAAGTGGGGAGAAAAGAAGTGTTGGCTTCGCAGATCTCACGGCCTGGTGCTCCGGGCCGAGGGGATATGCGTTAACACGTGACGTCCTTCTTTCGGATGCGGTGTGGTTGTGTGCGGGCGTGCCAGCACGGTCTACTGTGCGTCGAGATGATGATGTGGTTTGGATAGAATGGTTTAAGTGGTGCGCCTGTTTTGAGTCTGACTTTTAATCAAACGATTGTGGCCGAGAGAGGAACTGATCTCGGCCGTCAGGTTCATGGCCTGAGCTACAAGGCCGTTTAGTGGTGGTGTTGATGGTGGGTTTTGGGCGGTGCTCCGGCGCGTTGCTCAGAGAGCGACGGTCGTATGATATATGAGGTGAATGAGAGCGTGTTATATTCATAATTGACACAAATAAATATGCAAACAACCAATTAAAAATACCCGCAAGTGCACGAATCTATTGAGGTATAGATTATGTAAGTACGGGGTCGATCCCACGAAGAA